TGTTCTCCTGAGACGTGTGTGTATTTGTTTGTTCTTTTTTTTTTCCTTTTGTGCTTAATACCTGTAGAACTGGTCTAGAAGCTGCATAATCTCTTAGGGATTGGATGTCTGGGAAGGATTTTAATTCTCTATCACTGATGAAGCTGTTTGGCTGGGTAGGAAATTCTTGGCTGAAACTGTTTGTCTTTGAGGACTTTGAATATTGGATTCTAGTCCCTTCTAGCTTGTAGTGTTTCTGCTGATAGGTCTGCTGCTATTCTGATTGGTCTTCCCTGGTAGGTAGTCTGACATTTCTTTCTTGCTGCCTTTAGGATTTTATTTTTACCTTCTTTGTGTAGGCAGATTACTATGTTCTAGGGGTTGGTTTTGTCATTTGATGTCTTACAGGGGTTCTCTGTATGTCTTGTGTTTGGATGGTCACATCTCTGATAAAATGGGGAAAGTTTTCTTGGATAACCTCCTGGAATACTAGCTTCAAGATGTTCTCCCTTTCCCTTCTTCTGGGATATCAGTCAGGCATAGGTTCAGCCTCTTGATATAATCACACATCTCTTGGAGGCTTTGTTCTTTCTGAGTTTCCTTTCTATGACTTTTACAGACCTATTTGACTCCATGTTTTGGTCTTTAAACTCCGAAATCTTTCTTCTGCTTGACTTATTCTGCTTTCCTTGCTTGTCATCTTGTTATTTATTTCCTGGATGAAGTTTTTGTTTTTTATGGTGAAAATCTCTGGTACAAGTTCTTTCAGTGTTGTATCTTGACTTTCCTGAGTCTTATTCACTCTTTCTGTCCATTACCTAAGCCCTGTTTTATTCTGTGGCCAGTTGTTAATGACTTCATTATCTGGGCTCTAAGGTCTAATTTTTCAGGTGTCTCTTTGGTGCACTGGGAATTGCCTGTGGTCTTTCATTGATTTTTCCTCATTTGTGACAGATCACTTTATTTTCTCTTTAGTTCTGTTATTTAGTGACATTGGGAGGAGCTTTGACTTCTGATGTTTTTTTGGCCCTCTCTTCCCTGACCAAGTCTCTGAATTTATTCTATTTTGAAACAGAGCTAAGTGTGGGAAACTTTGCTGTCTCTTGTAGTTTTGAGAGTTGAATAAGGTGGAGGATGGGGAGCTGGGATTCAGAAATTACTTGCAAATCACAGTGTTCACTGACTGGGGTATGGTTCCCTGAGACCCACTCCCCACTATCTCTGTATATGACAATGCAGTAGGTATGTGTGTGTACCCCATGAGTCCAATACAAAGTAACAGCAATGAGGAGAACAGAGAAAAGTAGAATGAAATAGGAAGTATGAGAAATAAAACCAAAACAAAAGTTAAAAAAATAGGAAAACAAAACAGAAACCAAAGTAAAAAAAACCAATAAAACACATACCACACACATACTCCAAAACAAACAGGAAAAACAAAACCTCCATCAAAAAAAAAATAAAAAAATAAAAATAAAAAAGGGGAATGGAGATTGAACCCTCACACATATATTCACACACATATTAAACTAAAAAAAGAGAGTAACTGAAACAACAAAAGGAAACTGAATGATGAACACTCAACAATTCATGTGCACACATATATAGAAAAGAAAAATGAAAGAAAGATTCCATAGACATGGATAAAAGAATCAACATTGTTAAGATGTCCATCTTACCAAAGGCAATCTATAGAGTCAATGCAATAACCATTAAATTACCAGCAGCATTCTTCTCAGAGCTGGAAATGATGATACAGAAATTCAAACTTAAACTACCATGAATAAATAAAACAATCCTTAGCAAAAGAAACAAAGCAGGAGGTATCACACTTCCAGATATTAAACTTTACTATAAGTCTACAATAATCAAACCGCCTGGTATTGGTACTAGAGTAGGAATATGGGTTAATGGAAAGGATAGAGATTCTGGAATTAAAACCTCAATTTCTCAACCAACTCATCTTTGACACAGCCTCCAGTGACAGTTACTGGGGAGTGGAGAATTTTTTCAGTAGATGGTTCTGGGAAAACTGGCTGACCATATGCATAAGATTGAAACAGAACCCCTACCTATCACCATACACAAAAATCAACTCTAAATGGATCAAAGGTCTAAATGTAAAACCTGAAACTGTAAGATTCTTAGAAAACGCAGGAGACACCCTTATAGAAATTTACAGGCAGTCCACTCCCGATCAAAACCCCAGATGTCCATGCCAAAAGAGACAAGATAGATAAGTGGGACCTCATCAACCTGAAAAGCTTCTGCAAAACAAAAGAAACCATCAAGAGAGCAGGGGGAGAGCCCACAGAATAGGAAAAAAATTTTTGCCAACTGTTTATCTGACAAAGGCCTAGCATCCAGGATCCACAAGGAACTCAAATGTGCAGAAAGGAAAAAAACAAACAGCCCCATTACAAAGTGGGCAAAGGAATAAAGAGATACTTCTTAAAAGAAGATATCCGTGCAGCCAACAGACACATGATAAAGTGCTCAGCCTCACTCATTATCAGAGAAATGCAAATCAAAGCCACACTAAGATACAACCTAGCCCCATTAAGAATGGCCATCATTAATAAAACAAAAAACAGATGCTGGTGAGGATGTGGAGAAAAGGGAATGCTTCTACACCGCTGGTGGGAATGTAAACTAGTTCAACTTCTATGGAATACAGTGTGGCAATTGCTAAAAGAACTAGTAATTGACCTTCCATATTACTCAGCAATCTTCCTTCTGGGAATATACTCAGTGGAACGCAATTCATTCTACAAAAAAGATCCCTGCACGTGCATGTTGATTGCAGCACTATTCACAATAGCAAAAACATGGAACCAACTGTGCTGCCCATTGAAGCTGGACTCCTTAAAAAAAAGTGGTACATATACACAACAGAATATTATGCAGTCATAAGGAAGGACAAACATGGACTTCGCAGCAACTTGGATGGATTTAGAGTCTATCTTACCCAGTGATCTATCACAGAAACAAAGTGAGTACTGCATGTTCTCACTTACAAGTGAACCCTGAGCATTTACCATAATATTATAAGAAATGAATTGGCAATAATGGGACACTGCTGGGGTGAGGAGAGGGCAGATAACATCAATAATGGTAACTTTTCTCAAGCCAGGTGAAGTGGGGACCAAAGGGAGGCCCAAACTTTACCTGTATGATGTCCACTTGTATATCTAATCCTGAATTGTACCCCACATCTTTAAAATAAAATGTATATAAAATAAATAAATAAAAAAAGAATGGGGGGAAACGGAAATCAAACTTACATACACATTCACGCACAAAGAAAATTTTTTTAAAAAAAATTCTCAGCATTAAGCGCCCTCTTGTGGCAGGTTTTGTAATGGTTCCTCTCAGCTGCTCACTGATGTAAGTCCTTCTGCTCTCTCCTGTGGAGCCGTGCTGGCCCCATTTACAATCTCCCCAGCAGGAGGGTCCCAGAGAAGGCGGAGGGCTGGCTGGAGACGATAAGACTTCAGGCCTCTCCTCCCACTCCCGCGTGGTCAGAGTGATCCCCTCCGGTTGAGAGGTGTGGGATTGCTTCCTCCCCAGGAATTGGTGGGAGTACTCCAGCCCTGCTTATCCTGGAGAAGATTCCTTCTATCTCGGCTGAAGTCTAGTTTCCACCTGGGTTCGTCCCTCTCGGTTGTGCCCCAGCTGCGTGGGTCTGCTTCAGACGGTTGCTGGGAGGAGGGGTCAGGTCAGCCCCGGACTCACCGTGGATCTCTTTGAGGTCTTCCTCGTCCTTTTCTGATCACACCCTTGGTCCCCTGGCTGAACCTGGGTAGGGTTTTGGGCACCTGAAATTCAGCTCTCATCCTGTCTGAAAGAAGTACACGCTTTTCAGGATATCCCCTCTGAGTCACGATCAGTCCCCCTTGTAGTTAACCCGCCGGTCACAGAGACCGGGTCTGTTGCTCCATGGTGAGCAAGCCGGACCACTTCCCTGCCCAGTTTTCAAGATGGTGGCAGGGTGCCTGTTTCATCTTCTCCAGCGGGCTCTGCCTCTGGCTCTCTCGCTGTGCTCCCTCCACAGCCCTTGCTGCCAGTGTCTGGCCAGGCGCCGCAGAGCCTGGAGCTGGCAGTCACTCCTGGCAGCTGCTTCCCGGGAAGGGCTTTGCAGATTTTAAAAAATGATGCTTGGCTTCTGCACTCTGGGACGTGCTAGGAGCCAAGCGGAGCAGCTGCGGCACCAGCCGCTTCACCAGGCGAGCCCTAGCCGCTTGCTCCCGAGTCCCCACTCAGTCAGCCATTCACACCCCCGCTTACTCACAGACATGTAGGCCAAATTGTTCAAACACTCGCTCCCTCACGCAGGGACTCATGGAGACTTACTGGCTCTGCCACCATCTTCCCTCTCCTGTCCCCAACCCTATCAACATATAGAACTACTGCCCAAAAAGCTGTTGGTTTGCAGGAATAACAGTTATTAAATATGACCTGTGTGCCTTGTCTTTCCACTGTTTACCCACATAATCCAGTCTTCCCTTTGACAGTTGGCGGACATGTCATTAACAACTCTGACTGGCTGACTGATGCCTCTGCCACATGGGAGTGTCATTACACAGTAAAATTAATACTTCCATCCAAGATTTATTTAGCGTCTTCTGACACACTGAAAAGAGCAAGGGAACACATACATACATGCCTTGCTTTCCCTTGGCATGTTCGAATATTAGCCTATTTAATTGGTGGGAAGCATTTGAATGTCCTCGGGAAACAAGCTTTGTATTTAGGCACACTGATGTTTTTTTGAAGTTGTTTATTGCCTGTATTTTCAAAGTTAGTGTGACAGGACTCTTACCAGTCACTTGGAAGTTATATGTCATTATTGCTTTCTTTGTAGCTTAAAAAAAAAAAAAGAGGGCAACCTCTTTCAGTTCCCCTCCCACTCCAGCAGCTTTTCTGTCTTCTTAATAAATCCTGCCTTCTAAAAAACAAACAAACAAAAAGAAAGAAAAGAATTTAAAATAAGCTGCCCACTCTGGATTTTTCTTTTTCAGATGCAAAAGAAATTGTTTTAAAAGCCCAGATCTTAGCTGGAGGAAGAGGAAAAGGTGTCTTCAATAGCGGGTTGAAAGGAGGTGTTCACTTAACGAAAGAGTAAGTCTGGAGGTTTTAATTTCTTGTCTCTGGGCCAAGCAGGTATGGAAGATCGTGCTCATGATTGACAGTTCCTGACACTGAGAAGTTCCTAGGTGGCTGTACGGGGGACAGAACAGGCCATAGCGACTAGAGAGAACTGAATTATAGGTACAGGGCTCTGGCAATGGCCCAGTTTTCTTTCTGCTCCCATAAAAGGATTTTTCTTCACTAATTGGTGAACACTTGACAGTTCTTCTCTCTTAGACGATCAATGATTCATCATAAATGTTGGAAATGATACCACTTGCAAGTGAAATGCTACTTCTGTAATGTCACTCCCGTGTGCAAGAACCTGCAGGGGCTTCCCATTACCAGTAACATCAGTTGTGCCTCCCATCTGATAGTGCAAGTGTTCGTTGATCTGAGCCTGTCTTTTCAACTTCATCTCCCACATTCCCCAGTGCTGAACGCTTTCCTCTCCTCCCTGTTTGTGCCACATATCTTTTCATTATTTACTTTGATCTTACCTTCTTTCTTATCCCTCTCATTGTTGAAGACTTCCCAACTTGTCCACTGTCAAGTCTTTATTCAGTTCTTATCTAACTCCACTATGCATTTCAGCCTTATCTCTTTAGTATGACTGCAACTTATTTGGGGGAGAGGGTAGCAGAGGTCAGCAAGCATCTTTTATGTCTTCCATTCACTCATCTTTATTTTGCTCTCTATGAGCCTCTAGTACAATGCTAGGCACGTGGTTTGTGAGTGGAAAGACCCATGGAGTCTGTGAGGATGAAGGTGGACCCTGTGCAGTGTGGGCATAAGGTGCTGATGTGGACTTGACTTTAAAATTATTTTCAGTGGACATTGATTTTCTTCTCTTTTTTCTCTTCTTTTTAGTCCTAAAGTTGTGGGACAGCTGGCTAAACAGATGATTGGGTATAATCTAGCAACAAAACAAACTCCGAAAGAAGGTGTGAAAGTTAACAAGGTAATATGGATGCTTTCGGTCATTTTCCATGTATGTTTTTAAAAGAAGAAAACCATCCTTCAGTTTTGACAAAATCTGATGAAACAGTGAATCTTTGGCAGTGTGCCATTTTATTTTTTTAAACCTCTCTGCTAAGTAAATAATATGTTTTGGGGGGAATAAAAAGGATTCTGTTATAGTTGTATTATTTATTATCATTAGCATTTAGTAAAAGTAGGTGGGAGTGAGTGACTGAAGCAATGAGTTTCCCTTTCAGAACACAGATACATTCTGTTTAAGGCTGAGAAGTGCTTGCTCTAACAGCCTTATACTCAGTGAAGGACATTCCCTCTTCCCACACAGCTCCACCTTCAGTCTGTCTGTCAGAATTACCTATTGTGGTTTTTTTTCCTCTAAGTGCCCCTATTCTTTGTTTTGAGATTGCTATCATTTTGAGCCACTCTTACTACTAGGAGTATATTGCATTAGGGAAGTCAGCTGGGACACTCAAGTATGCACAAAGCATGGGTGCATACGTGCGCATATACACAGAAAATAAAGCCCAGAGGAAAGTGGCCTGCTCCAGTCATGAAATTGTGGGTGAAAGAACTGAAACAAGAACATAGCTCTCTAGTCTATTCACCCTTTGCCATATACCCTTCATGTGTCAAGGCTCCGGAACCAGCTGCCTGAGTTGCAGGAACCGTGCAAAGTAAATAGACAGGGACCCTTGTTTAAATTTCATGGCAGCTCTAGCAGACATCCCCGTGTGACCACACAGATCACAAGCATCAGCCTTGGGAAATGCCAGTGGTTGGAAGACCCTGTCCTAACAGTGAATTAGGGCTGCACATTTTGGGGCAGCAACTGTCTACTCCGTTGACACAGTGTCACAGATTCACGGTCCCTACCTGTGCACCATGCTGGGGAACACTGTGGTGGTACATTCAGTTTTTCCTTTCCAGAGAGAGTTTTGTGAGAAATTCTTGACATGACCTAAAAAAACGACCAGCTCATTCTTAGTGTACCATGAAATGGCCTATCCTAATCCACAAAAGGACACTGAGCAGGAGGGAGATTGGAATTCTGATGGGTCATTGGCTCTATCAGGCTGAGAATGTACAACTTTTCTCAATGTTAAGGGAAACTGAGGCAGAAGGATCACCAGAGCCCAGCAGATTGAGGCTGGTAGCCATGAGCGTGCCACTGCCCTCAGCCGTGGTGACAGTGTGAAACTCTGACTCAAAAAAAAGGGCAGGGGGAACAAGCTGAACTGGTGTGGCTATTTCTCTTTCTTGCTGCCTCCAAAGTAGAGGTGAGAACTAATTAAAAACTCAAAAATGTTTTATTTTGTGGATATGTTCTTGTTTGGCATGAAATACTACTTTTATTTTTCCTTTAAATCTGCTTATGAGCCCATACCTGTGTAACTTATTAAAAATGTGCCCTCATAGGATGTGATTAATATTTTTGTTTATAGAAATTGTTTTATGTGGACATATTACATACAAGTTTAAGGACCATACTTTCACTTACAGAATATTGGACATCTTTCCACATTGGTACATATGTTTCTATCTTGTCTTTTTTGATGGCGGCATAGTGTTACACAGTGAAGTATACTGCGATTAGTATTTAACAGATCTCCCATTGATGGACATTTTAGTCTGGAGTGTTTTACAGGCAGTGTGGCAGTGAATATTTTGAATACTCTGATATGTGAGACAGGCATTAGACTTCATGATGACCACCATGTCTTTCATTTTCCAGATGGACAAACAGAGGGTACTTATAGAAGGTCTCAGCAAAAAATAGCAGCTTGATCCAGGGTTTCTGTTTCCCAGGATATTTGGTGTCTGGTGTATCTTCTTTGATTTATCAAGTGTTACCAAAGATCAGAAACTGAGCAGGGGGTCAGGGATTAAAGTTATCATTTAGAATTTACTATGCAGCTTGGTAGATCAAGGGTAAACTTTTAATAATATATGGGTTTTGTAAGTGTGAGAACCAGCATAGATTTACGTGTTTAGGAAGTATGTGTGAGGCTTTTTTTAGTGTACCAAGCATGGTGCTGGATTCTGGGATATAGCAATGAAGTTTTTGGTAGAAATCGTTTTTTTTTCCTTTCAACATTATGTTTAATCATGTTCCAACATTTAGTAACCTCAATTTCAAATGGATGTCATAATCATAATCATAATCATAACCTGCTAGATAGTATTGCTATACATTAAATAAGTTAATACATACTTAAATACCTAACACAGTAAACATTATGCATTGTCTTAGTTGGTTCAGGCTACCATACCAGAATACAACAGTCTGGGTATCCTATAAACAACAGAAGTTTACAGCCTATGGTTTTAGAGACTGGGAAGTCCAAGATCAAGGCACCAGCAGATTCCATGTCTGTTGAAAATTCACTTCCTTGTTCACTGAAGGGGAAGTTTTTGCTGTGTCTATCCTCATATGGTGAAGGATGTGAAGGTGTTCATTGGGGTCATTTGGGTTCATTGAATTTAGTGAATCCAATCCTTGAGAGCTCCCCCCTCATAATCTAATTACCTCCCCAAAACCCCACCTCCATATATCATATGTTGGAGGTTAGATTTCCATCGGAATTTTGATGAGACACGACATAGGAATGGGAATTTTGGTGGGACACAAACATTTCTGGAATGTTAACGAATGAAAATCGTATAGTATATAACTTTTTTGATTTTTTTTTTCATTTGGCACAATATTCTAGAGACTCATTGAGGTTACTGTGTGTATCAGTAGTTTGTTCCTTTTTCTTGCTGTAGCAATCTATGATACAGATGTACCACAGTTTGTTAAGCCATCATCTGTTGAAAGACATCTGAGTTGTTTCATTTTTTGCTATTACAAATAAAACTACTCTAAACTGTTTCTGAGTTTTGGTGTGAACACACATCTTCATTTTTGAGGATAATTATTGCAGTATATAGAAGTTGTATGATTAATCTTTTAAGAAAGTACCAAATGTTTTCCAGATCGGCTGCACTATTTTACATTGCCATCAACATTGTGTGAGTGACCAGGGTCTCCACATCCTAGTCAGCATTTGGTGATGTTATTTTTTATTTTAGCTATTCTGACAGGTTTATAGTGATATTTTATTGTGGTTTTAATTTGCATTTTCCTAATAGCTCAGGATGTCAGACATCTCTTCATATGCTTAGCTGCCATCTTTAGACTGTCTTTGATGGATTATCTATTCATGGATGCTGTGGCCTGAATGTTCTCTCCAAAATTCATGATGAAACTGAATCCCATTGTGTGGCATTAAGAGAGAGAGTATCTTTTGGGAAGTGAATAAGTTATGAAGGCTCTGTTCTCATGAATGGATTAGTGTCTGATAAAAGGACTGGAGGGAACTAGCTTAGGCCTCTTTTTACCCTTCCTTCTTCTACCATATCAGGATGCAACTAGAAGGCCCTCATCAGACACAAAATGCTGGTGCTTCAATCTTGGCCTTCCTAGCCTCCTGCAGAACTGTCAGATAATTTTCCCCCCAGAGATGGTATCTCACTCTGTTACCCAGGCTGGAGTGCAATGGTACAATCATAGCTTGTTGCAGCCTTGAACTCTTGGGTTCAAATGATCCTCCCTCCTTAGCCTCCCAAGTAGCTGTGACTACAGTTGTGCACCACAGCACCTGGCTAATTTCGAAATTTTTTTAGAGAAAGGATCTTGCTAATTTGCCCAGCCTATCTAGGACTCCTGGACTCAAATGATACTCCTGCCTCAGTCTCTCAAAGTACTGGAATTACAGGTGTGAGCCACCATACCCAGCCTAAATTTTTGTTTTTTAGAAATTACCCAGTCTCAGGTATTTCATTATAGCAGCACAAAAACATTATCTTTTGCCCACTTTCTCATTCAGTTTTTAAAAATTTTTATTGAGCTTTGAGAATTATATTAGATACTAGTCCACTGTTGGATGTGTGCTTGGTAAATATTTTCTCTAACTTTGAACTTGTTTATTCATTCTGTTTACCAGGTCTTTTGCAGGACAAAAGTGTTTAATTTTGATGAAATCCAATATATCAATATCTCTTTATGGGTTGTACCTTTTTGATATGTGTTTTAAGAACACTTTACTTATACTTCACTCATTTTTTAAATATGTTTTATAGTTTTATGTTTTATATTTAAGTCTGGTGCATTTTGAGTTAACTTTTGAATAAGTTTTGAAACTTAGGTTGAGGCTCTTTTTTTTCCTCTCTCTCTGTCTTTCTCTCTCTCTCTCTCTCTCTCTCTCTCTCTCTCTCTTTTTTTGGTCTATGATAGCCACTTGGTCCTGTGCCAGTTTTGAAAAGGCATATTTTTCTTCTTTTGAATAGCTTTTGCACCTTTGTTAAAAGTCAGCTGAACATATCAGTGTGGGTTTGTTTTGGGGTTTTCTATTCTGTTCCACTAGCCTATATGTCCATTCCTCTACCAATACCACACAGTCTTAATTGCTATAGCTCTATATCAAGTTCTGAAATTGGGTAGACTGACTCTTCTTGCTTTCGCTTTTATGGTTCCTATGTTTTTCCATATACAGTTTAGAATATTTTTTTCTTTGTCTACTTAAAAAAATCTGTTGAAATTTTGAGAGGAATTTTATTAAATCTGCAGGTTTCAATTTGGAGAGAATCGTTATTTTTGCTATGTTAAGTCTTCCAATCCGCAAATCAGTGAACATTCTCTCCCGCTCTCTCTCTCTCTCTCTCTCTCTCTCTCTCTCTCTCTCCTTCTCTCTCTCTCTCCTTGTTTTTGGACCTACTTTGATTCATTTAATCAGTGTTGTATACTTTTCATCATATGAGTTTGTTATACTTTTCAAAAAGATTTATGTGTAAATAATTCTCTCCTTTTTTTTTTTTTGTAATTGTCAGTGGCACTGGATACTTAATTTCAGTGTCCAGCATGTTTATTATCAATATTAATTCCTTTTTAAATGTTTGCTAGACTTCTCTAGTGAAACCCTGTGGGCCAGGAGATTCCTTCTTCTGTGTCTGTTGCTCTTTCTGGGTTGCTGGCTTCATTAGCACCCAGCACCCCGTACCTTATCTGAGATTTATGAGGCAAAAGAAAATACAGAGGACCCCATGTCGTTCCTTGGACCTCAAGCTTCTTAGCTGGTGTGCCTTCTCTGTAACATTCAGAATCTTCTTAAGTTTTGTGTGCATGCAACGTTCAAGGTTTTTGTTTGCATTTAGCATGTTGAATAGGGAAAAATATGCCTGCTCCATCTTCTTAAAAGCAGAAGTCCATGGATTATAGAAACTTTTGATTATGTTTATTTGAGAAGCTAATTTAATACATGTATATATTTGTATACATTGGGCATTTGTTTTCTAAATCTGTGCCAATGTGTATGTGTTCCTGGGGCTAGTATTAGGGCTGTGAGGCAGTGTTATTCAACATGTGGTCCAGGATTCAACAACACTAGTGATCATTGCCCTACAATGAATTCAAACATTGAGAGTGTCCTTTTAATCTTATCTCTTCATGGTCCTGTTACAAATAGTTTGTGCAATAGCACTCATCCACAGACTACAACTTGAACAGCACAATATATTTAAGAAAACATATATATATTTTAAGAAACAGGGTCTCTCTATGTTGTTCAGGCTGGTCTCGAACTCCTGGGCTCAAGCAGTCCTCCTACCTCAGCCTCTTTCAAAGTGCTGGGATTACAGGTGTGAGTCACTGTGCCCAGCCAAGAAAAATCTGTTTTGTGGTAAATAGGGCCTAGAAAGTTTAAAAAATATCTCTACTAGAGGACTGTGCAGAATGAATGTATCCATTATTATAATTCATGTAACTTACAGATGAAGCTGTTTTGAAATGTATGTAATGGAACTTCTCATGGGATGAGTGTTCGTCGAGTCCATTTGGGTATCTCTTTAAATTCCTAAAATACTGTGACATCTTGGGTCATATAGATGGCATGATGACATCAAAAAACTGGTTTTTGTTGTATATAGATTTTTTAAATTACCTCTTAATAATCAACATTTTCCAGGGAACTGGTGGATGGTTTGACCTTCATTGACTTACATTGTTGGAAAGAACAACCAACTTTAAATCAGAATGGTTCTAAGATAATCCTAACACTATGTGCTAAGACATATTTATATACTCTTTTTGATTAAAAAATTCATTATGCAGATCCTTATATTTTATTTTTAACTGGTGATAAATTTAATAAAAGTTTTTTAAAAAGAAGTTCTATGTTCATTTTTTTATAGCTTTTTAGATAATCATATATATATATGCCATTTCATGTGACTTAAAACTTGGTGTTTTTGTGGCATTTGAATAGCTAAAAATCTAATGCTATCTAATCTGTAAATTTTTTATGAAATCCATTACTAAATTACTTTTAAGAAAAGCAATGAAAATGCTTTTATTTTTACATCTATTACTGATTATTTATGGGATTGTTTTTATATTCTATAAAAATTATCCAAGACATCTTTTCACCATTCTTGTTAGGCACGTAAGTTGGTATAACCTCTCAAGGGCAATTTGACAGTACTTATCAAAATTTTAAATATTCATAGTCAGAAGCCTAGACATTTTACTTCTATGTTTCTTATCTACGGGGATATTAAAACAAATGAGCAAAGACATATGTACAAAAATATTCACTAAAAAATGGCATTTTAGAAAACTTGAAGTCCACGTAAATGTCTGTCGGCAGGAACATGATTAAATATATACTGACATATAAGTATTGTGTAGTCACAATGAAGAGAGAAGACCTTAGAGAAATACCCAAATTTCACTATTAAGATTTAAAAAAAGAAGAAAGACATTCTTTATAAATGATGTGCTTCCACATGTAGAATGATTCCATTGTATAGAAGTGACAATAACAAGTTAGTAGTGACTTTTCCTGGTGGGGCTGCTGCCTGCAGTTGAAGTTGTGCAGAGCAGAAAGACCTCTGAATATCTTTTTCTTTTCTTTTTTTCTTTTTTTCTGTTGTTGTTGTTGTTGTTTTGATAAGATGAGGTCTTCTTATTGCCTAGACTGATCTTGAACTCCTTGTCTCAAGCAATTCTTTTACCTTGGCCTCCCAAAGTGCTGAGATTATAGGCATGAGCCACTGTACCTGGCCAAAATGCCTTTTTCTAATGATTACAAAGGCTAATGATTACCCTGACTACTGGGACTTGAGGGTTATGTATATGGTGGAAAGTGTACAACAGAGGGCTCCTTTGACTTTCTCATTTATGGATTTTTTGGTGTCATTTTGCAGTATTTTTTAACAAGTAAGTATTCTGTTTGTAAATGAAAAGAGTATAAAATGAAATAAAACACAGTGATCCAAGAGACAGAAGTATGTAAGCACATGATGCATAAGACATACTGTAAAAGAATCCTTTGGCAATCAAACTTGGTTTTCCACCAGTGTCTGAACTCTGAGAAAAGTCAGTGGAATAATATATATGTACTGTTAATATCTCAAATTAAAATAACAGCTGCTTCCCTAGAGTATTTTTTAAGCGACAGTTTCTCACGGAAGAAAAAAAGAAGATTAAAGTGGGAAGGTTCCTTGAGGCAAACCAAATACCTGTCACTGGAACAAGTTAACAGGATCAATTAAGTAGGTGAGAAACGGACACTGGGCATCACGAGAACAGAACTCTGAAATCTCTGGAAACTAACTTCCTGGGTTTTAAGAGCCTGAAAATGAAGCCGTTTGATTTGTGTAGCAAGTTTGTATAGATTTGTGTAGCAAGTGGAAATCAGCTCTATGCTGAATTAATTTGACTTTCCCACTAATGTGGTAGGTGATGGTTGCTGAAGCCTTGGACATTTCCAGAGAAACCTACCTAGCGATTCTGATGGACCGTTCCTGCAATGGCCCTGTACTGGTGGGCAGCCCCCAAGGGGGCGTTGACATTGAAGAGGTGGCCGCTTCAAATCCAGAACTTATTTTTAAGGTATGTTTGAATTCCTGGCTGCCATGTATTAATTGATTGTTATTGTAGAAGGTGTTGAATATTTAATGTGGAGTCTAAGGCTGGAAGCAGTAAATCTGTTTCTGTGATTTAGGGTATTAAGATGTTGAGTCTTTTTTTTTTTTTTTTACTGGGAATCCAGCTGAAAGTTGGTAGAATCAAGGTATTCAGTATTTAAGGACCTTCTTGTTTCTTGCTTTTTTCCTCTCTTCCTTCTCTTCCCCTTCCTTTCTTTTCTTCCTTCCTGGTTCTTTTCCATCCAACTTGCCCCAGGAATTAACCAATGGAAGAGGACTGTGATATTTTCATTTTCTCTTGGTTAACTGTCTCACATTTTACATTATATATAATCCAGAAATTCTCTTCTAAGAGACCGCGTGTGAACTAGAGACTTCTTTGAGGTCTCTCAATACTATTGATATAAAATAGAATCTTTGTTGGGCTCGGTGGCTCAGCCTGTAATCCCGTGCTTTGGGGAGGCCGAGGTGAGTAGATTGCCTGAGCCCGCAGGTTCAAGACCTGCCTGGGCAACTTGGTGAGACCTCATCTCTACAATAAATAAAAAATTACAGGCGTGGTAGCGCACACCTGTAATTCTGGCTTCTCGGAAGGCTGAGGCGGAAGGATCGCCGGAGCCCAGCAGGTCGAGGCTGCGGTGGCTGGGAGCGGCCACTGCACTCCAGTCTGGGTGACGGAGTGAGACTCCAACTCAAAAAAAATTAAAAGTAAAAGTAAAATAAATAAATAAAATAGAATCTTTCTGAGGTTTGGATTCTGTCACTTTGTTTCAGTTTTTGAGATCTTGTTCCTTTTATTGATATTAAATTAGTTTGAGTCAGAGATGTCTGAGGTCAAATTTAGTTAATCAGCAAGTTTCTCACAGTCTCTACGCCTCATTTTTTAAATCAGTAAGATGAACATAGAGTAATTTCTACCCTGCAGATTGTGAGGATTAAATGACGTAATATGTATGAAAAGTGCTTCTTGACCTACCTCAGCTATGAGAAGAAAAACATAAGGTCTTTAGAACTGTAATTCCAGTTTTTTTAAATTTATTTTATTTTATTTTATTTTATTTTATTTTTTTTTTTTTGAGTTGGAGTCTCACTCTGTCGCCCAGACTGGAGTGCAGTGGCCGCTCCCGGCCACCGCAGCCTCGACCTGCTGGGCTCCGGCGATCCTTCCGCCTCAGCCTTCCGAGTAGCCAGAATTACAGGCATGCGCTACCATGCCCGGCTGATTTTTTGATTTATTGTAGAGATGAGGTCTCACTGCCCAGGCGGGTCTCGAACCCGTGGACTCAGGCAATCCACTCACCTCAGCCTCCCAAAGGCGCGGGATTACAGGCTGAGCCACCGAGCCCGGCTTATTTTATTTTTTATATTTTATTTTTTAAATGTGTACAATTCAGGATTAGGTATTTAAGTGGACATGGCACAGGTAAAGTTTGGGTCTCCCTTTAGTCCTCACTTCGCCTGGTTTGAGATCAGATACATTTTTTGATATTATTTGCCCCCCTACCCCCACCCCACCTCAGCAGTATACCACTACTGCCAATCCCTTTCTTATAGTATTATGGTAAATGTTCAGGGTCCACTTATGAGTGGGAACATGTGATATTTAGTTCATTTCTGTGAAAGGTCAATGAGTATGATAGACTCTAAATCCATCCAAGTTGCTGTGAAGCCCATAATTTTGTTCTTATTCATAGTTGTGTAATATTCCATTGTGTATATGTGCCACTTTTAAAAGATCCAGTCCAAATTGGATGGGCAGCACGGTTGGTTCCATGTTTTTGCAATTGTGAATAGTGCTGCAGTAAACATGCATGTGCAGGTGTCTTTTCAATGGAATGATTTGAGTTCCTCTGGGTATATCCCTAGTAGGGGGATTGATGGATCATAGGGGTAATTCCAGTTTTTCGGTTTTTTTTTTTTTTTTTTTGGAGTTGGAGTCTCACTCTGTCACCCAGGCTGGAGTGCAGTGGCACACTCACAGTCACCCTAACATCTACTTGCTGGGCTCTAGCGATCCCTCCGCCTCAGCCTTCCAAGTAGTTGGAACTACAGGTGGGTGCTACCACACCTGGTTAATTTTTTATTTATTGTAGAGACAAAGTCTTGCCAAGTTGCCCGGGCTGGCCTCGAACCCATAGGCTCAGGCAATTCACTCTTCTCAGTGGCCGGTAATTCATTTTTAATCAAGATTCTTAGTGTCAAAATCACATTAAAAATATCTAGCAGAAACATCCTATCTCTTTTAGAAAATGCTTTTGTTTCCCTTTCAAAAGGAGGGATTTTATTTCTTAAATCACTTTGTCTAGATAATGTACGGTAAGCACTCACATAACATTGTCAACAGGTCCTTGGAAACTGTGACTTGATCGAAATGACATATAATGAAACCAGTTTTACTATAGACTGATTTATAGAAACAAGAGTTAAATTCCTATGGCACATTTCTGGTCACAAAAACATTACCCAACTTCTAAATAAAGATCAACACACTTCTACTGTTATACACTGAAATAAATGTGAGCTATACATACATTTCAGAAAATTTCATAAAAACAAGTAAGATAATAATTTACCTAATTATTCCTGCTTAGGGTCACAGGTGGCTGGAGGCTGACCTGGCCACTCTGAGTGCAAGGGGGGAACTCTCTCTGGACAGAACACCAACCCATTGCAGGACACACAGACACTCACACTCACTCCAGCTGGGACCATGTTGACATGCCAATTCACTTAATGTGCACAGCTTTGGAATGTGAGAGGAAACTGGAGTACTCAGAGAAAGCCCATGTATTTAAGTTAACCACCTTAGAAATTGAGACTTTACATGCAGACTTACCAATAATATCTAGCCATTTCCACAATTACCATTATTTAAAACAAGCCATCCCATTTGTTAAGAGGATGCATGAAATAATATATATGAACAGCACTCAGTGTCTTTGAGAGAATAGCATTTTGTAGAGCTAAAGTATAATTAATACCTCTCGTCAATAGTGTGTTTAAATCATAAGGTAATATTTAACCTTTCTATGAAAAGCTCTAAACTTAACAGTAATATTAGGCAGGAAAACCTTACTTTGGAAGCCTTCCAAAAGATGTCATAAAAATTAACTGACTAAATATTCATCAATGCCATCTGTATAGTAATTAAAAGTGAAAACTGGCATCAGATTGTCTTGTCAGCATGCCACCTTGAAGAATTATGTAGTTTTTGGAAGTACTGTTTCATAGATGGTCTGCTAATTAAAACATACCCTATAGGCATCTGCGGTAGCCCTGCTCAGGGATCTCTGGAAAGGTGCCACACTTTAATTACTCATTTGCAAATAAATACTAAGCATTTCTATCTTTTGAGTTGTAAATCTTTTCACTTGACTGTCTGAATTTTGTTTATTTGATTTATTTTTACTAGGAACAAATTGACATTTTTGAAGGGATACAAGACAGCCAAGCTCAGAGGATGGCAGAAAATCTAGGCTTCCGAGGGCCTTTGAAAAACCAGGTACATGAGTGATTGGAGAACGATGTGTCTGACTTGTGTAAGAAAACATTTGGGAACTTAATTACCTCTAATGTTTGTGTTGACCAAGAAACAGGATTATTGATTGTTTTATAATTTTTTTCATCCAGGTGTTTATGATAAAGAGAACTATTTCCTGGTGTTGTAAGGGAGAATGTTTATAGTGTGTGTTTATGTATATTTTGGTGTGTATGCGCATGTGTGTTGCATGCAGATATATGCATTATGATATATGATCATCTTTATTTTTCTGTGCTGCTCTCTAGCATGTGTATGATCAGCCTGTCTGAAGTTCAGTTTCATCATCTGTAAAATGGGAATGATAATATCTTGTAACTGAGAAGCTTATAGTGGGGACTAAGTACAATGATGTGTGGAACTCCTTATTACGGTGCTCTATAAGGTCCATTTTTATTGTGATTAATAATACACATTACTTAACTAATTGCTGTTCTTTCATAGCTAATGCATATTTGAGATGAATATGGATGGCATGAAGGTAATATTTCCCTGAGAACAGCATAAAATATGCCAATTTAGTAATGATATCCCCTGGCTTCAAAGACAGAAAAATTGTCCTCAGAGCTGTTGAGGAACAGAATCTGTCTTAAGCATCAGAGCCCTGCTCTGTCTTTAGTCCACCCCATGGTGCATGATTTTGTGGCTACTTAGGTAAGCTTCCTTATCCCAAAGCTAAATCAGAACGTACTAGCTACTTTTTTCCTCCTCCATTACTCAGAGAAGGCAACTTAAGAACCTCAAATTGTATACACGTGTGTGTTTCCTGGCCTGGGCTCCATGATGGTTTTAGAGTAGTCCTTTAATTTAGTTGGGTAATACTATTCCCATCTAACAGTTGATTGTGGACTCTTTTTTTCCCCCCTGTTTTTAATTTTTATTGACTCTTTCTCTCAAAGATTGATGGTGACAATAGGCAAGTCGAAGGGTAAAGCAGAATAAGACTTTAAAAATTATATATGTTTAAATGAAGGGAGGACAACACTTACTTGAAAATGGTAGTAAAGGCTCCGTTGGAAAGCAAAAGATTCAAGATGGTTGGAGAAGACAGGATCATCTAGGACTAAATGTCAGGACAAGACAGAAAGGGTCAGGATTCAGTGGATACTTAGAGGAACTGTCTTTTCTGATTGTCTTTTCTAAGACTGGCAGAGAGATGCCAGGGAAGTGATCTGTTGCGAGGAAGATACTAGAAGATTCCTGGATACATGCCACAGTCGGGGTTTCACCTCCCGAGAATGAGACTACTAGCTACATTATCTATTCACCTGACATTTATTAAGGGTCTTATCTTTCAGCAGTGGTGGCCACCGAGAGCCCCTCTCCTGTACAGACACTGTGTTGTAACTACACAGCCCTACAGCCAGCTCTAGAGTGTACTCAGTGACCCTGTTTATTCCACCATATCACTCTGCACATTTGTATTTCTTTTGTTTATTTGCAGTCACTTTTGCTAGATTCTAATCTTCACCGCAACTGGGATTTTACCCATCTTGCTCACTGCTGTGTTGCCAGCAGCTCACAAAGGGCATGGCATATCTATTTGTTGCCCAAGAACCATTTGTCATGTACGTGAATAGGTAAAAAAACACACCTAGGCTGTTCACTTTGAAGAGTTTCCTAGTCAGTGGTAGGTGACTTTACGTGTCAGAAAAATAAATCTGGAGTGGACAAAATCTGCTGACCACATGTTTGAAAACTCAGGAGGTGAACACAATAGAGAGTTCTAGAGAAGTTAATAATAGTATTATGTATGTCATAAGATACTCTCCCCTGCTACATATTATAAGAGAAAATTAAGAGTTATTTATAGCTCTTAGATGGTTTAATTGTGTTTTCCCAGTGTCTGAAACACTCTAGGTTTTAAATGAGTTACCTATAGAAGGAAGATGAACAGGCATACTCAGAGGTCATTAAGTAGTTATATTGTCAGTATATTTTTAACGTAATTTATCCAGGGGAAGAAAGAAAATTTTTAATTCATTTTTTTTTCATTGCCAGCTTCATGAAAGGCTTTAAATCTTCATTTGCTCAGGAGCTAGGAGTGAGCACTGATTGGGGGTTGCTCACTCTCCTGGGCCCTGGGGAACAGAAACAATGAAAAATAGTCATTGTTCTTTAGGCACTCACACACCAGAAGCGGTCAGCCTGCTGGTCAAGGAAGAGGGGCTGAAGAGAGAATGTGAAGGAGAGAGCAAGGCTCTCTCAGTTGTAGTTGTGTTAGAATTTGTTCACCTAGGGATACACAGGTGTATTTGTTCAGCAGAAGGAATCTATGGCATGGAAGCCCAGGGAAAGCCATAAACTGGAGTTGCAGATTGGGAATTTATGCTTTATAATGCTTGCTTAAACTGTGGGGATTGGTAAAATGCTTTAGAGAGCTGGCGTCCAGTGAGCAGAGGACCCACCTGAGAAGGGAAAACGTTAATCATCAAATGATCTTTTTATAAGGAAATGGCATCTTACAGGACCCTTAGATTCAATGTGACTTTGAAAGTTACTTAATTTTCATCTAGGGTGTGGTTTAGGCACTTGGAGGGCGCCTCACTAATGGATGAATAACATATTAGATGATTATCTTGTAAAATTATTAATGTCTTTCCTGTGACTCATGCCTGTTATCTCTAAAATATGATTAATATCAGACATAACAAAAATAAAGATTGGATTTTACCCTACATAAAAACTACCAAGTATGTGTTCCTGCCTAAAATCTATTGCCGCAAGAATTTTTTGAAAAAAAACTGAAGCCATGAGAAAGCATGATATAGTAATTGCTCCTTATCCACATGAGATATGTTTCAAGGTCCCAGTGGATGCCTGAAAGTACAGATAGTAATGAATCCTGTTTGTATGTAATATATATAGCTATATAAATTATATATAGGATATATATGTTGTTATTTCCTGTACATGCAAAACTATGATAAAAAATGATTTATGACCAGGTGTGGTGTCTCAAACCTGTAATCCCAATACTTTGGGAGACTGAGGTGAGAGGATTGCCTGAGCCCACAGGTTCAAGAACAGCCTCGGCAACTTGGTGAGACCTCATCTCTACAATAAACCAAAAAATTAGCTGGCCTAGTACCATGCGCCTGTAGTTCCATGTACTTGGAAGGATGAGGCAGAAGGATTGTCTGAGCCCAGCAGGTCGACGCTGTGGTGGCCGTGAGTGTGCCTCTGCACTCCAGCTTGGGTGATGGAATGAGACTTCAACTAAATAATAATAATGACAATAGTTTATAGGTTAGGTACAGCAGAGATGAACAATAACTAATAAGATAGAACAGCAATAATATGCTATTATGGAAGTTATGTGAATATGGTCTCTCTGAAATGAAACAATGTCTGCATAAGATGACATGAGCTGAATGGCGTAGGCATTGTGAAGTAGGATTCTGCGACTGCTGACCTTCTGATGAAAGGTCAGGAGGAGGATCATCTGCTTTAGGTGATTCCGGATCATGGAGCCATGACAGTGTCAGTGGTTGGGTGTCAGGAGCAAACATTGTTGACAGTTGGGTATCTTCAATAGTTGCAGGTTTTCTTGGCGACAACTTTTGGAAGAACATTGTAATAGGAAGTAGTTGTCTCTTTCTTTTTAACTCACCAAAGTGTTGCTGCAACGATTGAATCTTTTGGTGATCATACATGTAACTTTAATGCTACATGCTATCCGAGGATCATATTCCATAATTCTGCATTTTCCTTTTAGTATTTTTGGACCACTGTTTACTGTGAGTAACTGAATCCACATAAAGTGAAACTGAAGGTGGGGGCAGGGACTACTGTATGGCTAAAATTTACAAGTTTCTCAAGTGTGTCTTAATCAACATCTGCACTATTAACTTCTGAAAACGTAGATACCATAAATTGAAAAGATATAATGGGTCAACTTAATACAAAATCTCTAACACCCCTAGAAATGGTTTGTGTGTCTAGCTAGATTTGAGAATCATACGGCAATATTGATGATATTTTCTGAAATGCAAGAAAAGTATTTTAGAACTTTTAACCCATTGAAACATTTTAAAGGTACTTATAAACTTGTCAAGATTTCATATATGTGTGTGTGTGTTGTATGTATATATATTTGATTTTATGGATTTTAACTTTAAAAAAGTTGCTTGATAAACAGCCTTAAAATAACACTAGTTGGTAGCAAAAAGAAAGCAAGATGTTTTGTATAGAGTGGCTATAGAAAGTAGATGGCAGTAGTAAGCAACTGACTACAAGCAGAACAGGAGTATGCTTTCTTTGATGGGCGTTTAATTTATTTTTAACACTCGAACCCATTTCCTATGGTTTCCTATTATTATATCTGGTCAGACTGATACATTTTATGTGCCTAGCCTTTATAGCCATTTGGTGTGCAGCCTCTGGAATAAAAGGTCTTACAAAGGAGAACCAGCCTGGTTTAGAAATATCTCCAAGATCTAATTGTGTTTCAGCTCTGTTCCAAAAATGTTTATAGTCTGTCTTTGCATAACAGTAAAAGTGAAAATAGCAAACATCCCCAAAATGCTGTGCCAAGGTATCATTACAATGACATTAACATACAGAAGGGCCGGCTTGGTGGCTCAGCCTGTAATCCCAGCACCTTGGGAGGCCAAGGCGAGTAGATTGTCTGAGCCTGCGGGTTTGAGACCAGCCGGAGCAACTTGGCGAGACCTCGTCTCTACAGTGAAGAAAACATTAGCCAGGCATGGTAGCGTATGCATGTAGTTCCGGCTACTTGGAAGGCTGAGGCGGAAGGATCACAGGAGCCCAGCAGGTCGATGCTGGGGTAGCGGTGAGTTTGCCATGGCACTCCAGTCTGGGTGACAGAGTGAGACTCCAACTCAAAAAATAAAATAAAATCTTTGGCCTGGTGTAGTAGCTCACGCTTTTGTAATCCCAGCACTTTGGGAGACAGAGGTGAGAGGATTGCCTGAGCCCATACGTTTGCGACCCTTCCGGGCAACTTGATGAGACCTCATCGCTACAATAAATCAAAAAATTAGCTGAGCATGGTGGCAAGTGCCTGGAGTTTCAGTTACTTGGAAAGCTAAGGCGAAAGGATCTCCTGAGCCCAGTAGGTTGAGGCTGCGGTGGCAGTCAGCATGCCACTGCAATCCAGCATGGGCAACGAGTGAGACTCCAACTCAAAAAAAAAACCCCAAAAAACAAAATTTAAGCTTCATTTTCAGCTAAGTTGATACAGGCTTAAGAAGTTCTGAATTGATTCAAGGAGTGGGCTGCCCAAGGCAGGCAGAGAGAAATGCCCTGCCTTTTCCCTTCCTCCCACCTCTGTGTCCCAGCTGACCCAGAACCCTAGAAAACTCAGCCCCTAAGAGTCAGCTCCCCTGATATACAGAGTAGACATGGGAAAGAGCTGAAAATGGATCTGATGCCAAATAATGCAAGACTGGCATAATGAGGGAGATGTGGCAGAGGGAAAACCGTGGCTGTAAGATAAAATGGAGGCAGGACTGAGACTGATCCCCAGTATTCAACCATAATTGACCATCTCACTCTGTGCATTACATGTTCTATTTGTTGTAAACGAGAGCTTTCCAGGGTGGGGTCATATCTCATTCATGTTCTCATCTCAAGCCTCAGCTCATGGGATACCAGCCTGCTGTGTCATAGACAGTGAATCAGTGTTGGTTGTAAAGACTGAATGAATGAGTGAATTTCAAGTAGTGAGAAAAACTAAGCCAGGGTCAGAACTTCAGGGCAACCTTGGATGTTCTTGCCCTTTGTGGTTAATGCCTTTAGGACAAACTGTACCATTCAGTAACTATGCCTTTAAGAACTTTCATCTTCCTGTTTTGCAACAGTTTCCATTAGACGCTTGGTAATTGTTGTTTCTCAGATTATGTGTTGGATTGATGAATATAATAACTGTTTTATTCTAGCATAATAAGGAAACCTAGTCATTATAAACTCTCAAAATCATGTTTACCTTTTACTTAAATGGAGCTTGTTTGTATTAATGATTGTAGCTTATATTGCAGCATAACTCTGCTAATAGTGGCATGATAATTTACAAAAAGATTAACAACATTTTAGGCCTTACTGAAAATATTTTGTTTTCTTGATAACGGTCTCTTCTGGTGTCTGGAGGAAAGTTGAGCAATTTCTTCTAATGAATAGCAGTGAAAATTAAAATAATTATGCTTTTCTGTTTTTCCCTTCAGAAAACCTAACTGAAAATAAAGACATAACTTGCTATTTTTAAAGTTTCATTAATCTAGCAAAATAAATTCTCCTTTACTGCTTTGGTGTAATTCCATTTCACTTGATCACATTTAGGCTGCAGATCAAATTAAGAAGCTGTATAATCTCTTCCTGAAAATTGATGCTACTCAGGTGGAAGTGAATCCCTTTGGTGAAACTCCAGAAGGACAAGGTAAAAAAAAAGAAAACAAATGAATATAGTATAATTATTTATGCAAACTATAAATTAAATTGCACAAAAGACTGTAGCAGCAGCTTTGCATTAATTTCTTTCAGTAACTTGATATCTGCCATGGTTTCAAATGCTCCCATGATGCAGTTGAACATTTCAGCACTTGGATTTGTTTGTAGCCAAATGCCAAGCCTCTGAGGAAGCTACTTCTTGTTTTGCTTAGAAACATCCATCCATCCCTTTTCCCCCACCACGTTTTTTCAGGACCGTTGCTGCTGCTGCCAAGATAAAGATTTGGGTGGGAATGGGAGCCACTGCACTTGGGTGTAATAAATGTACCTGCTTTTATGGAACTGGAATTTTTGAAGATTTCTGATTTGCTTAAATCTGTATATAATTTTACCTTGCATCCCATGCTAGACTCATGTCACTTTGGTAACCTAGTGCCTCCCCTTATTTGCTTAGCAGCTTCTGCTTCAGGCAAGAAGAGGTGGTATTCTTGTGGGGAAGAGTTCTCCTATCCATCAGGTACTTGTAGAGTATAAATAACTGTTTTATATGTTGGTTTCTGCCACCGTTACACTGTGTCTTGTCCACATTCAGTAAGTTCTTATTAATTTGATAGCAAAAACTTGTGAATGCGACATGGGTAAAATTGGGATTGCAGAGTAGGCTAGCAGGTGGAGAGTGTAGTAATACCAGATTGTAAGCTACATGAACCTTTTCTTTTTTAGTGCATTTCACCCCCAGTGTCATGCATACTATATAGCGTGTTGTGGGCAGTCAGTAAATAGGAATTTGCCATTGAATTGGTAATTGGGTTTATTCATCATGTGTAAACACACCAAGTTATGGAGCAAGTTGGACGATGCAATGTTATCTCCTTAGTGTACTTTAGAGATTCTGTAGCCAGATTTAGAATAGCTACAATATCATTTTCTTGGAACCCACAGAGGCCAAGGTACAAATTCTGCATTTGCCATGTTCTGGCTACAGATTTGGGCAGGTTACTCAGCCTCTCTAAGTCACAGCTTTGTTTCTTTTGTTTTTAAATCAAATAAAATGGTAAAAATGATACCTATCTCATAGAGTGACGTGAGAATAAGGTGAGATGGTAAATGTGTAAATGTGCAGTGTCAGACCCAAAATAGGCTAATTCCTAACATTCATAAAATGTAATTCCTTTTCTCAGGTGGTACAAGAAGAACCTAGGAAAGATATAGGTTTCAGATGAGAATAAGCAAAGAGTTTATGTTTAGCAAGCCGTTGAAATAATATATTTAATGAGCCTGGGAGCAGTGGCTCATGCCTATAATTCCTGCAGTTTGGAAGGCAGCAGTGAGAAGATTACTTGAGCCCAGCAATCTGAAACCAGCCCAGACAGCATAGGGAGACATTGTCTGTATAAAAAATTTTTTTAAATAGCTGAGTATGATGGCACGCGCACTGATAGTCCCAGCTATCAGGCAGCTGAGGTGAAAGGATCACCTAAGCCCAGGAGGCTGAGACTATGGTGAATCATGTGGCACTGCACTCCAGCCTGGGCAACAGAATGAGACCCTGACTCAAGAAAAAGAAAGAAAGAAAGAAAGAAAGAGAGAGAGAGAGAGAGGGGAGGGAAGGAGAGAGGGAAGGCGAGAGGGAGGACTGAAGAAAATGTTTCATGGTTTACACACATAATCACGAGATAAAATCTATGCTAGGTCATTTATAAGCACTTATAACTACCTTTATTTATTAAATATTTTTTAAAATTGCTGTGACTGTACAATCAGTATTTCATCAAGAGAGGAGGGAGAGAGGAAGAAACTTACATGCCAGGTACTATGACATACTTTTATATTGTTTTTTACTCTTTATTACAACCCTGTGAAGTTGGGAGTTGTTATCCCCCTTGTATAGAGAAATTTTTTTAAATTTTATTTTATTGAACAGCACTTAATTCCTTAAAATAGGATGAATGCTCCTATAAATAATTGCAAAAAGTCAGTGTGACTCTCGCATGCACAGCTAGTTATGGGTGCTGGGATTCAAACCCTGTTTCTCTGAGTCCGGTATGCATGTTGATTCTGATATGCTAGACTCACTTACAGCAGCCTGCCTTTTCTACTTTTTCCCCTTTAAACTACTCATTTGTTTTCATCTCAGCGTGGCCTAGAAGTAGTCTCCAGTTTGAGAATACCAGTCAAAATTCATGCTGTATTGACTGGCTGATAATTAAATAACTGAGTTTTATATTTTAAAACAGAAAAAAATTTTAAAGGTCATATGCTGCCTTTTAAACTAGTATACATAAGCAGCCTGGTTACTTCATATTTAAAAAAAAAAAAAGGAAATTCAGCCATGGTGTGGGATAAAAATCAGACTGTAATACTAGTTTTATTCAAACCTTTGGAAAGTAGTCAGTTGCAATCTGTGGTCGGGCTGCAGGGAACAGAGGTATAGGAACCTTTTCTTAGAAGTTGCTTACAAAATCTCATGAAGTCTGAAGTTTGCTTTTTAATTATAAATATAAAGGAAAATTCTTGAGTTTTGCTGAAGGAATAATCATAAAACCTTTATATACAGTTCATTAAAACATAAGTCTTATGTGATATTTTTAAGAGCAAAAAAATTATCTTTATTAATTTGTTCATTGTACCATAAAAGTTCAGCTATTGAATAATAATCACAATTAAATGAGTGTGTGTTGGTTTATAACTCTAATGAACAGTAGTCAAATTAAACCCAATTAGGAAATGGTGATTAATGACCAAATGTACAAATTGATCTTTATTGTTATCACAATCCCCTAAAGCAGTCCTTTATTTAGGAGCTGTAAAAGCAGTCATTTATATCTTAGAAGCATTGATAATCTTAATATTTATAATCTGAATATTTAAGTTATTTCTGTTTAGATCAATAATAACAGAACCATTCCACATTAAAACTTTAACACTGAACATTTAGTAATTTTTATTTAAATTTTATTTTAAGGAGTAATTTTATTTACATTTAGTTTAAGGAGCTCAGCATCACATCAGACATTTTTCCCTATTTATTATACCACCTCTTTGTAGGAGAGTTTCTTTGACCTTCCGTTACTCATTGAGGAATGTTTTTAAAACATTCAGATTATTGGTCATTTATTTGCATAACAGATGATGTCTGGTTGGTCGAATGAAGATCAAGAGTCTTGATAACATCTATACTGCTAAGTCACCCATGGGGTTTTAGACATGGAGAATGAACTGCAGTCCAAGAATCATTTTGTCCAATGAGGTTAATAATCCAATTAAAAATATATAATTTGATACTTCTAACTATAACAGAGTTTAGTGTTAGCTAGGATTATAATGGTTGCTAGTGACAAACATCCCCATCGGCTTAGTTATTGTTAAAAAGACCCTAGGGGAAGTTATTTTCCTTGTATAACAAGGAATTCTAAGGTATGAACTGGCTTAAGGCCAGAAGAGAATCAGGAATTCTCTGGTTCTCTCGCTCTGCTTGCCTCTGAATTGGCTTCTTCCTCACAGACTTTCTGCAGCTGGCAGCAAAGATGGCTCCCAGTGCTTATCACTCTCCTCCAGCAACCACAGAAATCCCTTTAGACCATTCTGATTGGCCCTTCCTAAGTCACAAGTTTGTGCCTCTGCCAATCACTGAGCAGGAATAACATGAAATAGGAGAGATACAGTTTTCTATTGGAAGAAGGTTTGCTGTGTCCAAAACACGCCTACCAGAATGGCCCAACTTTATGGAAACAAAAGTGAACTGTTACTTAAATAGTCAAAGATAAGTTGACTGTATTTTTTTTATTGCCCAACTGTGTTGCCAGTTTATTCGTCAATCATGTGGCCATGTAAGAAGCAACGTCTTATTATTTATCTACTCACCTATTCATTCACCCATTCATTTTGCTAGCAACTGTGAAATTTTATGTCATATTTCGTCCCATCTTCAGCCAGCTTTGTCTTCACATAGACTTCTTTCTAAAGTATCTTTAAAGCAAGTGGTACAGTGGGGAGGGTGGGCATTTTGTCCCCAAGGGACATTTGGCCATGTCTGGGGATATTTTTTTGCCATCACAACTTGAAGGCAGTTCTACTGGCACATGGTGGGGATAGGATAGGGATGCTAAACAAACTGTAATGCACAGGAGAGTCCCTGACAAGAGAGAATGATTTCACATAGTATGTCTACAGTCTAGAGATTAATTACTGCTTTAAGGCATCTTTATCAGTTGGAGCCCAAATCCAGTCATTGAGCTAACAGAGTGAGATCCAATTTGAAGCAGTGACTATCTGGCTAAGATTCCTTGAGATTTAAGGCTGGATGATCCAGAGTTAGCTAGAATACCGAATTCCTTTCTTTCTTCAGTTTGATTTCCCTAAATAACTACCCTGTTGCTTCTTGTTACCAAGTACCCATGTTGTTGGTGGGTGTTTCTCTGTTTCTGTCTTTATACACAAGACTCTATTTTCAAGAGCATTTTCAGTTTTTTTTACCTCCCCCACCCTCTGCTCGCTCCATATCTATTTTCTCTTTTCACAGCAACTAAAAAAAGTTCAAAAAAGTATACAACTCTCAGAACATCAATATTTAATGGAAAGTGGGACTAATTTGAAAGTATCAGCATTTTAGGGCCATTTTTGGCAAGATGTATTTCAATAGCACATTATGGTTATTTATCACAAATCAAACACAGTACATTGCTTAAAGACAGATTATTTTTCAAACTAATTATGACAGTCTTATTTCCTGCTGTTTTTATGTTTCTTTTATGTGTAAGTCTCCCCTCTGAAATGTATTTTTCTTTTGTTTAATTCTGTGGCACATTCTTCTGGTAAAACTCTAGGGTCAGAGGCCTCTAACTGCCAGTCTTGTTCTCTGTTAAGATTGTTGAATTAGCAGCTCACAGAACCTCACACCACCAAACAAAACAACAAAACACCCTATGCATATAAGTGCCACAGCTTTCTTTGATATTTGTTCAGAAGGAAAATTCATTTGTATAATCTATCAAGCATGTAACAATGTGCTTTTGATGGTGAAAATTGTTTTATAAATACTAATAGGTAGGGTTTTTTTCACCTACTTTATGCATAGAATGGCCTTTGTTCATGATGCGTTTTCTATAGAACTGAGGTTTCATTAAAATGACATTGAAAATCTTAATGTCTGGACCAAGCTCAGTGCCTCCAAAAATACATTTTATCATAGTTGTTTGTTGTTTTATTAAATAAGAAAGCTAAGGTTTGAGCAAACAAGTTTATTTTTATTGCCCTGCTATTGACAAAGACATCAATTCATTTTTAACCCATCAGATCTGGAAGTACATGTAGAAGGGACAATAAGTGTATAAGAGTCAGGCAGTGTTCAGGGATTCATCTACTCCTTTTGTGTAGCTGCAGGTTTTTGTTTGTTTTTTTCTTTTTTAATGTTAGTATAATGTACTTTTTCTAGGTGTTTCCTTTACTATAAAAAATATACCTGTGGTTCTTATACCTATCAGTTGGTTAAAACAGGATGCAAATGTGTTGAGATTTGTGACATAGTGGGGATTGGCAAAACCTTTGCTGTGAAAGGCCAGTTAGTAAATATTTGGGGGTTTGCAGGCCATTCAGTCTCTATGTAGCTATTTACCTTTGCTGTTGTCTTGGAATGGCAGCCATGAGCAATATGTAAACATGATGGGGTGACTGTCTTCCAATCTATATTGACAAAACCAGATGGTGGGCTGCTTTGAGGGCCATAGTTTGCCATTCTCAGCTTAGATTATCATTTGGGGCTGTTTTGTACCAATCTTTAGCCACCTTGGCCTTATGCGAAGGCATGATGTGACTTGAAGGTCACCAAAGGCCTCTGTTTCACCCTCATTCTTTAGCCAAAAATCTTCATTTCTATCAGTTATGATGCTCCAAATGCTCCAACCATTAAAATCCTTCCTTTGGGAAAATTCTTATGTATTCAGAAAACAACATTTTATTGACAACCCCAGTTAACCTGTGGATACTTCAATAGACATTTGCTCTTAAATAGACATCTGGGATTATAAAGCAGTGGGTCAAAGTAAGTACAGGTAACTTTCAGCAGTAGGAAAAGAGGAGAGTTCTATATTCTGGGCTGCCATAATGGGAAACCCTAAGCGTTAAAAAGCACATGCATGTAGGAAGATAGCGGGGAATCTACAAACAGTGAGGGGCTGCTGTCTGGGAGGTTGAGTGTTTTCCCTGCAGACTCCCCTCCCACCAACACCATACAATAGAACATTCTCTGATCCCCATTGTGTAGAGAAGGCCACTGGGCTTAAGAGTGTGCCCAGGGCTAACTGGCTAGCAAGTGCCACAGTTGTAATTTGTTCCCAGATATTGTTGATGCCAGAGTCTACAGTAATTGGTCAAGTTCCAGGAAAAGTATTTAGATGATACAGTATTGTAGATAGTAAGGCAGGAAAGCACTTTCTTTGTTTGGAACTATGTATAACAGAAGAAAAATATAACAGTTTTCTCCTACTACACTCCTACTATGGAAGCTTCATCATGTAGTAGTGATCCATTATCCACTCTGAAAAATGAGGAGTGGAGCTAAAAATTCTAAGCATAATTTGGTCTTTCTGGCGACCAGCCCCATCCAGGAACCCACCAAGAGTTGTCGTATTAGAGCAAAAAATGCTTTCTGTGTCCCAGGAAATTCCAAAGAATTAGGAGCTCTGTATCATGAATCAGGGTCAAAGGCCAAATATTAGAACAAAAAACTATTTTAGCACCCCTATTGCTCAGGTAATTACCAGGGTTTTAGGAGCACTATGCCAGGAACTGGCATTTCTTGCTATAAATCACAATATAACAGACTACTTTTTTCGGGGGAGGGGGGATTGTAGTCTCACTCTCAACTCCAGTTGCAGACTGGAGTGGCATGCTCTTGGCCATCCCAGCGTCAACTTGCTGGGCTCCAACTATCCTTCTGCCTCAGCCTTCCCAGTAGCTGGAACTATAGGCATGCACTATCACGCCCAGCTAATTTTTTTGTTTTATAGTAGAGATGAAGTCTCGCCAATTTGCCCAGGTTGTTCTTGAACCCATGGGCTCAGGCAGTCCCCTCACCTCAGCCTCCCAAAGTGCTGGGATTACAGACTTGAGTGACTGCACCTGGCCTACTTTTAAAATACTTAGCAACTATATATGTCTTACAGAGAGTATCCCTACCTCCTTAATGTCCTCCATCCCTATCTCACCAAAAAAGTACTTGAGCCTTAGGAGCAGCAATATGATTTAGGATCCCCTTTCTTAATTCCTAAGTCCTCTTACTTCATATTTAGGTAGAGTTTTAAACTTCCCAAAGTTCTTGGACATCCATATATTAGTCCAATTAAATTATATAGTTTTGACTGTAGAGAGGGAAGAGGTGGCAAGGGGCCATCGTAGATACATACCCCTTTCATCTCACAGTCACCATCTTGAATCTCTGGGTTAACTGTAAAGTTCTGCCATGGTGGTCCCCTTGAGAGAACATCACACCACAGGAAAGCATCCTTTGAAAATCTGGCTTTGCAAGCATTTAGTGGGGACTGCCTTCTGAACTTTGCATACATATCCATTAATTATGCTCTCACTGAAGCAGCCTGTAATTGTAGTCTGTGTAAGGAGCAAAGGTCATCTGGGAGCTGTTTTGATTTACTGGTTTATTGATCTCGACCAAGAATTCTTTTATTTGAAACTCTTCACTTAGGAAGTCAATTTGATAGCCTTTGCCTATTCATTTTGAAGGTGTCAGTTACAAGTAGACTAGCCAATGAGTAATGGAGGAGCTGAAATTACTAATAAATTAATTAGAATGTATTTATAAACCCAGTGGAAAGCCAAGAATGAAGTTGCTTTTCTATTGATTATTATACCGGTCATTAACTGCTGAGAAAATGCCACTGTAGCAAGCAGAGAACATTGGCCAATTCCTTTGGTAATTGTAGGATTCCATCATTAAGATTTCAATATTCTGGAAAGTAATTACTCATTCACTCTGTGTTCACAATGTGTGGGCAAAGTGGTTAGGCATTTTGTGGCAAAACTAAGGATTCAAACAGACATTAACTTTCATGTAAGATTCTGTCTTGTCACTTATTGCTGCTTTAATTTGTGGTCTGGATTTATATTTATGACAAGTGTTCGTAGATGTTAATGTGGCAGTTCTACACAGATTTGTATCTAATTGCTTTAATATTGTGGTAGAGAGCCCCTTGGCAAAGGCCTTCTACCTAGGGTCTATTACCCAGGATGCCATATGCAGCATTTTTTTCTTTCCATGGGAAGCAGGTGGAATTAGTAGACTATGGCCATTGCTTTCCCTTGAGTGAGAAATGTCAGGGTGCTTGTTTCCCTTTCAAGAGTCAGGTGCCTGTTGGCAATGCCAAAGGAGAATGGGCAGTATCTATAGGTTCTTGGTTAAAGAATTCTGTCCATCAGTATCCTAAGTTAAGTAAAAGAATGTTATGATGGCATAGCATCACAGAGGGCTGATTTATACTCTAAGGGAGATACTAAAAGGGGTCAGAACCCAGATACCAATAATGCACCATTCTTGCTGCAGTCTATCTGTATGTGTAGAGGATCTGTAAATCCACAAAAGTGCTCTGTGTTCTATCCCTATCATTAAATGAGTTTTGCTGTGTCCGGGGCTCTTGGCCAATATGAGATTGAGATTTCTACCAGCATCAAAGGTTGGAGTCAATAGTGCTGATAATGACTGGCATCCTGACATTGTAACTGACAGTCTGGATATCTTAGTGTTTTATAACTCAAATCAGAAGACTCATAAGATTGTCCAGGACAAATTAAGGCATGGTCCTAGTTCTAGGAGACACCTAAGCAAGAATGTCAATAGAGAGGAGCTAGGTTATTTTAATCAAGGTTACAGAGTTAGTAATATATATTGGAAACTGCTAAAAGAGTACTTTTTAACTGCTCTCACACATATACACAAACAAAAAACAAAAATGATGTGAGATCAACATGTTAATTTGCTTCACTATGGTAATCATGTCATGATATATATATATATAAAATCATGCTGTTGACTTGCAGTTGTTCCTTGGTATATGTGGTGGATTGGTTCCAGGACCCTTGCATATACCAAAATTTACACATACTCATTTCCTGGATGGAACCATGTATGCAGAAAGTCAGCCCTCGGTATACATGGATTTCACATTCAGAGAATAAAAATCATTATATAAGTGGAGTCCACAATGTAAACTTGTGTCATTCAAGAGTCAACTGTATGTGATTTTTATGTTTTAAAAAAATTTTAAAGTTAAAAAAAGGTTACAGAGTTATTTAAGGATCAAATAAAAATTGAGTGATTCTGGTCCAGCATTCTTTTCACTAAATCTTTTGGAAATACTAGACAGTATATTGAGTCAATAAAAATTTCATTTTGCAATGTCAGAAGAAGGACAAAGAAAGATAAAAGGATTAGTATATTGTCTAGTCTCTCTTTGCATAGAAGGGAAGAGTGATAATTAGCGGTTAAATACTAAAAACAAGAAATATAATAAAAATATGAATCAAAGCTGTGTGTAGTTATGCCAGTCTGTAGCGTTTAATGGGTGATGGCAATTTTTGTTGTTGTTTTCTTGAACAGAGATCAACACATGCAAATTACTATGCTCTTTACTAGAACGCAAGCCCCTTAAGAACAGGGACCAAGTCATGCTTATGTTTGTAGCTCTGAGGTTTAAAGGTCAAGAAAGCCACAGCATCCTTTCCTGCCTGTAGCATGAGGAAAATTGTCAGCATGTTGTTCTTCTTTCTCCTAGGCCCACCAGCCTGGAGAACTTAATTATAGATCCTCAAGAGATATTCAGATATGTTCCTTTTTTCTTTATTTAGTTGTCTGTTTTGATGCCAAGATAAACTTTGATGACAACGCAGAATTCCGACAAAAGGACATATTTGCTATGGATGACAGATCAGAGAATGAGCCCATTGAAAATGAAGCTGCCAGATATGATCTAAAATACATAGGACTGGATGGAAACATTGCCTGCTTTGGTAAGAAGCAGTTCCGTCAAAAGAATGCTTTGCAGATTTTTACAGAATTTAGGAACTCTTGACTTCTGAAATGTTATTTACCAGTAGCAAGTAAACATGAGTTTTTGGTGGGATTTTTTCTTTTATAGCCAAAAAAACCTTAGGAAACAATCCAGAGTTCTCAAAGTTCATTTTGTTCAGTGGTCACTGGTTGAAAGCAGAGTTTCTAAGCTCTTGCACTGTTGAGATTTGGGGTAGAATAAATATTTGCTGTAGGGGTTGTCTTGTGTATTATAATTAATTTAGCAGTATTTTGGCCTCTAAATGAAAATAAACAGGCATAAATAAATTAAAATAAAAGCTTCCAGACATTTCCAAATGTCTGTGGTAGGTAAAATTGCCCTGAGACAATTGATTTTAAACATCTCAGTTAAACTTTGCTTAGTAATAAATCAGAACCTTTGCTACTCAAGTCAGTGTTAACGTGCTAAGAACTATTCTGAAATTTGGTTTTAAAACAATTTCTTTTTCAGAGGGAGTAAAAGAAGACGTATACTTTAATCATTATACTAAAGTTCTGCTTCTGTGATAAACAAATGACAAAATAACCCATTATGCCAGTTTATTAATAAAACAATTGATTTCATCATACTTATCTAAATTTGTGAAAATGGCTTATTCGACTGAGATAAGAATGAGTCTATAGAGGCAATACAGTTTCTGTTATTGTTCACAGCTTATAGTGCAGAGATTTATATGCTTTTGGCTTAATTGCACTAGACTATGTTTCTGGTTCTATCAATTCATTGCACTGGAAACTGAGGTTTTAATCTTAATGGAATTAAAATAAAAAAGATTTGTAGCTCATTAAACCAACAGTATCATTATATTCAGAGCTGAAGAGACCTTATCTGTTCAATACAATAGAAAATGATACCCAATTACAAGTGATATCAAAAGCTCCCTCTTTGTATTGGGACAATAACTGTAATATAACAGATCACTCAAATGGTTGTGATCCTGATAAGCTAATACCCTCTCAATATTTGTAGGCATTTAGAAAGGGGAAAGACATAATGGTGTGTTTAGAACAAATTAAATACAGATTCTTTGCAGCATCTGTAGGAATGTGTATTGTTTGACCAAGTGGCAACCTTAAAAGCTACAACTTATCACACTTCAAATTGTTTTAAGACTATATCAACCATTTTTCCTTTAATTGCCCCAAACTTAATTCAGTTAGTCACAGTTTATAGAATTTTCTGAGGAATTCAAGGGTCAGAAAAGTGAAGGGTACTTTAGCATGAAAGATTTGTTTGGGAGATTTTTTTTCCTACTAACCTGAGAAAAGTAATTAACTTCATTAATTGATAAAACTAATTTCATTAATTATATCTAAAAAGCAAAGAAGTGCAATTGATCAATAAAACTTAATTCTAGAAAACAAAAATTTTGATGTCAAAACTCTTTGCTTGGTTTCTTAAGAAAGACTCTTAAGATGTTGGCACATTTTGGTTCTAGTTTTAATGATTGCATTGCTAGTGGACATTGTTTATTTTAATTTGAAAGCGGAAAAGGGAATAGGAATATTGTTTTTGGTGCTGTCATTTATTCATTTGTTTTCTTAGTTTATTCAGATAGTATTATATTATATGAACATTCAAGACTATACTAAGCTGTATGAAATCCTATCGAAGTTGAGACCCCTGTGGTTCAATCTCAAAGAGATGCCACATTCAAAAGAGTATATTCTCAGCAAGCAAAATGTTAAGAGATTTTCATTCTTTACTCCAGTCTCTTAAAGGATAGTAAAAAGAATGTAATTCATAGACGTTAGCAACTTCTCATAGCCTGTTCTCTCCTTTCTAATTCTCTTAAACTTAAGTTTTCTGGATCCTAAACGTCCCTACTTTACTACCAGCCCAACTTAGTTACCCACTTAAACTCTTCTTTCTGTGTCCCAGATTGATTTAACTTCTCAAGAAATCCTTCTCCTAATCCCCAATTATTTTTTGTGCATTCTTTGTATGCACATTTTCTGATTCTTTGTCCTAAAAGTCTGTGATTTGTCCTAATCCTGTTGAATGGAATTCCAAACAGGTAGGAAATTGGTCTGACAGTGACAGGGTTCTTTGACAGCATGGGGGAGAGAAAAAGTTTGCGGACCCTTCTTGTTGCTAAATGTATTCTGTCTTGTATGCCATTTGCATTTCACAGTCAATGGTGCTGGACTGGCCATGGCCACCTGTGACATCATTTTTCTTAACGGTGGGAAACCAGCCAACTTCTTGGATCTTGGTGGTGGTGTGAAGGAATCTCAAGTATATCAAGCATTCAAATTGCTCACAGCTGATCCTAAGGTAACCTTTCTCTTTGTTAGGGGGATTGCATAATATTTCTCATCCTCAAGAACTGAATAGTTCCCACTACTGAGAATTAATATGTCAACATATGTACTCTGCAGTCCTAGATGCAAATGCTGCCATGTATTGCATTGAAATATATGATGATTTAACTCTCATTTTGGGTCGAAGACTTATAAACAGCCCCAGGCTTTTATTTTGGAGGCTCTATATACAATGTCCTGGGAGGTGGAAAGAAATAATAAAGATACAGTGGTGCCAAACAGTGAAATGTTGGTTGGTATGAAACATTATTTGGTTAATTTACACTGTAGCGGTTAGTCCTAAGCTTACATGCCTTAGAAGGGACTCAGCCCAGATTCCTTTCATAAAGATGCTGAGAGTATTATTGTAATCTTGGAAAATTATAGGATTCCAAGATCATACATATATCACTGGGAAATAATGGCCCTACCTCCTGGGTGCTTTTAAATTTTCATCTCTGACCATTACAGTTTGTAACATAGGCACTAAGTAGCAAATAACTGTACATGATGACATAGTTTCTATTGTGTTTTGTGCAACTTTTCTTTTTAACTTAAGTGTAGCTATCTAGAATGCTGCTGCCACACCCATGGTAGGTGCATCCTTGGCATTCAATAAATATTTCATCAGTTCATTTAATAACCAATTTAAATACCAGTGTACTTTGTTTCAACTATAGGTACTCAATTGTCTATGGTAATATGATTTTAGGTGAATCCTTATTACATAGAAAGACCAGAAATTTTTTGAATGTTTGATGTACATGGTTTTCATTTAGTTCTCTCAGCCAGACACAATCATTTGATGTCAAACTTTGAGAATTATTATCTCGGTATTGTTAGGTTATCTAATTTGTTGATTACTAAATTATCTGAAGACATAGGAAATCTGAACTGTCACTAAGAAAATCATACGATAGTTTTTTTATTTTTAAAAGAAATATGGTCTGAACTTAATATGGAAGCTTTCTACTAAGTATATTAGCAATAAATATTGGCAATAGCCTATTTTGTTTCACATCCATAAAATTTTATCCTTTATTAGTAGCATGCTTTTCTGTTTTCCTTATGACTTAGATAGTTGGTGACTTTATATTTTTGCTAACTCTTTTCTTCTGATTCACAAAACATATGGCAGGGTATTGTCAGCATTTATCTTCATTTCTCCAGTGTTATTCAGGAATAGCAAAGTTATTGTAGTTCAAAGGTATCCAGTCATCAGGAAAGTCTTGCAAAATGAAAGATTTTTCTGTTTACAGAGTACTTTGTTTTCACTGGTTAGGTAGAAACATTATCGGTAGCTCTGTAATTATTTATTAATTCATTTATTCCTTCTTCCTACTCCTTTCTAAGGGAAGAATCATTTTCCTCCCAGAGATTCCCAAACCAATTGAAATCTATAAATACTGAGACATAACACACAGCTCTTTAAGCTGCTTGAACCACAAAGTACCCAGAGGACAGACGACTGTAATAAAATACTGAACTTTTAGTGTCTATTGAAATTCAGTGCTAAGAATAATAGAGAGCCACCAAGGGATTAAATCTACCAGGACAATCATTGGGTTTTCTTTGAAATATCTTTGCTTGGTGGCTGATCTTGAATTTTAATTTTGTAAAAGTACAGGATAGGGAGGGAGGGAGCAAAACTCACTGCAGAGCCATTTTTTAAAAACATTCTCTTAAAAATTTTGACTTTACCCTATGGAATATTTTCAAATGCTTGGATTATTTAAACTTTTTTGAGATTAGATGTCATCTTGGGTAGATAAAGGTATGTGGGAGTTATTTTATTTTTCTCATTCTATATCAGGAAAATGAATGCACAGCTCATCTCACAGTACATTTTCCAAATCTTGAAATTTCAAAACTGGTTTAAAAGCATAAGAGATGTAATGGGTATTTTCAATCCTGGCATCATTTCATAAAATTCAGAAAACAGAGTCTAAAAAATAGTATAGAAGAGTTGATTTGATTTTGCAAGGAAACTGGTTGTAGTTCTGGCAGTAATTATTTCTAGTAGAACCCTGTCCACTTGCCCAGACATAGAGATTCCCAAGAGCCCAAAGTAAATTATTTCAAAGGTATCACTTTTCTTGTTAGACATAAGGATTAGTTAGTTCAATATACACTGAAACTCAAAATTATAAAAGACCAGTTATTGTTAACATTAAATCAAATGAACCAATAGCAACAACTGCTTGCTTTTCAATATATAAGATAATTCTGTTGGTACAAACACAGCATCATTCAATAAAAATATTAGTTTAACATATATTTCCACTCATAATGTCAGCCATAGAGCTGAGACTTATATTTATTTTGCTTGACTATAGCCCAAATCCTATTTTTTTGTGGACCTAACACAAGTATCTCTATAACAATTGTGTTTCTTATTTGTTTGTAATATATGTGAAATAAAATTCCTCTACTAAATAAAATTCCTCTACTAAACTATCTAAAGCAAGAGTCTTTTCAATAAGTCACTTACTAAACTTCATATGAAGTATATCATTAAATATTTTATAATTCTCTTACTTTCCAGCTTAGCTCAAGATGAGAGAAATGTAATAGTTTGTTTTGCTGGTGGTCTTCATCATTTTGATTTAAATAATTCTAAACACTAGTATTCTTTAATCATAGGGAGTAAAAATGTTATAAAATAGGAAATAGAGGTAGATTTTGTGGTTGTCTGTTAAAAATTTGAACACTCTTAATAGAAGAATGCTATATAGAATGTTATCACTGGGTTTTGTTTTCCTAAATTATGCTGTGGCTTCTGTTTTTAAGTTTGAACTTAGAATTCCAAAGGTATAGGAATTGTAACATCTGGAATATGTAAAACATCTTATGTACACGAATACAAGGGAAGGACATTTGGTATGAATCTCCACAAAACAGCCCTAACTCAGTAGGCTGAAGTTAAGCAAATCTGTTGCTTTTGGGAGGCCTGATTTTGAAAAGCAATGGTCAGTGATTGGCATTAGTGAAGCCACTTCACTTGATTTGCCTGTGCTTCCTGTATTAGATCCAACTTTGACTCATAATTTTGAAGCTCTTAAAATATCCACGAAGAAATGTGTTACCTAAGCACCAAGGACTAGTTTAAGAATGGCAGCAATTCTTAGTGGGGCTCTGTTGCCAGACTGCCTGGGTTCCAATCCTATCTTTACCACTTATTGGTCTTGGGACCTTGGGCATGTCATTTAACTTCTATGTTTCCTTTTATAAAGTGGTGATAATAACTCCTTGCTTCAGAGGGTGGTTTTATTACATGAATGAAGACACACATATTTCTTCACATATTTCTCATTTAGAAGGACAGTCATTTCATATGACAGTATCATTTAAAAAATTTAGCAAACTTTTATTAAAGTATAGCCTATATATAGAACATAATACAAATTCTAGGCATACAGCGTGGTAAATCATTACTAAGTGAACATACCCATGCAACCTACAACCAAATCAAGAAGTAGAACATGATCAGGATCCTAGAAGCTCCCATGCACCCTCTTCCCAATCCTTCTCCTATCTTGCTTTCACCCCAAAGGTAATTTCTAATATTACAGATTTGTTTCGCCTGTTTTAAAACTTAATGTAATTGGAATCACACACTGTACACTCTTTTGTGTTTGCCATATTTCACTTCACTTGTGGTTCTGTTTAGTCTTTTCAGTTTCTGTCATTCAGGTAAGTGTGTGACAGTGTCTCATTGTGGGCTTTCTCTCATTACTAATTAGGTTGAGCACTTTTTCACATATTTATTACCCATTTGGATATACTCTTTAAACTTACATTGCCTCATCTGAAAAGTAGACAAAAAAATAATCCCTCAAGTTCTTGTTTTAAGTATCAACTTGCACTTCTTTTTTATTTTTATTTTTTTGAGTTGGAGTCTCACTCTGTCGCCCAGATTGGAGTGCAGTGGCACGCTCCCGGCAACCGCAGCCTCGCCCTGCTGGACTCCAGCGATCCTTCCACCTCAGCCTTCCAAGTAGCTGGAACTACAGGCGTGTGCTACCACGCCCGGCTAATTTTTGATTTATTGTAGAGAGGAGGTCTCTCCAAGTTGCCCAGGCGGGTATTGAACCGGCGGGCTCAGGCAGTCCACTCACCTCAGCCTCCTAAAGTGCAGGATTACAGGCTGAGCCACCGAGCCCAGCTAACTTGCACTTCTTTTTAAGACACAGTGAAACATTTAGTTTGTGGTGTTTTTTGAGTGTTTCATTCCATTATCATTTCCAAAACTTAGATTTGGGTTAAATGCACATCTACAGAACTGGAAGGTGTCTGAAGTAGGTTCAGTGATAATCAATGCTTGCACATGTGTTGTTTTGAAGTTGATGGAAGGTGTAAGTGATTCAGTAGCTTGCAATGATTGTCTGTTCAGACATCCAAGCAAACAATTTAATAAAGGGAGGATTAAACTCAGGTTTGAAAGAACAAGATATCATTTAGTGTAAATTTGAGAAGAGGGCAGCTCTTTTAGCTCTGTGGTTTAGGCTTCAGAATCTTTAAAATTTGAAGCCAGAGAAGTAAAAGCACATGCTTTATTTTCATTATGAGATGTATGGATAATGCCTTAAATTTTAATAAATGTGTTTTGGGATCAATATATGCTGTTTCATGTATTGAAATTTTTATACACTTTAGAGTGTATTTAAATACAAGGCAGAATATCCTCTTTTTCTTTTATATATGAACTTATGTCAGAGACATGGAGCTATTAAAACTTAAACTGAGACATCATAAAATTTAAGAGTTTATTTGAATAACCGGAAGTGGTTCCATGACTGCTGAGGAAACATAAGGGGAAGACTTTTTAAAGGGCAAACATGAAAGTAAAGCAAAATAAATATTTGATTGGTTACAGTTATACTTTTGCCTTATTTGGTCTATTCTGCTGAAAAGTTCCATTTATATAACTTATATAAGTTAATTGACCACTTCTGATTGGTTAGCCTTAAGTTTTATTTGTCTTTAACATAGGCATTTACTAGAAAA